AATGGGCACCAAAACACTATTCTAATCGCACATACAGGCAATGCATAAACCCTAAACCCTAAACCCCTAAACTCTAAACTGTGGTAGGGTGGTATACGATCGTCTCATTATACTGGCACCAAAATGAGGTACCCCTAATTTTCGAAACTCCCATATAGGCTAAACTACATACTGTTGCAGGCCATGTTAGGGTTTTAGGACTGTCTTATAGAACTATGTAGGCGAATGTCAGGCCATCTGAGAAGGCAGTTCCCTAAACCCCTCTACACCAAACCATAAAACCTGTAACTTCAAATCCTGTAAACCCCAAACCCCGAACCCGAAAGCCCCCCTTAGAATCAGCCTCCGAACCAGTCGAACCCAGGGAAACATGCCATGTACTATATACTGTAAACGATCTACTATATACCATCCACCAGATACTATAAACTATGACATAATAACTACAGACCATAAACTACGTACTATACATTATAAACTACATATACTGTAAGTTCAATACTGCAAAAAATAAGCTACTCGAAGCTATAGAGAGACGATAAAACTGCCGCTCCAGGCAGCCCGCCGAGCCCCGCCTCCCGGGCCCCCGGGTGCGGGCAGCCCTTCGCGCCAGGGCGGCACCTGAAGGGCACTGCTTCAAAAATATGACTGCGATATGTAGGTATACGTAATCACATGTGTATACATATATGTATATACACACGTCTATAAACAAATAGTTAAGTACATATATACATCTGTATAAACAAATACACAAATAAATAATTATATATATATATATACACATACATACATATCCATGGCCGGTAGCGCTCCATGATACGGCATTGTAGATTCCCAACCAGAAGCCTTGAAACCCGTAAATTCCCAGGAGAAGCCCTCTACAGCCGAATCTGCAAACCTAGCAAAAGTCCTGGACACAAATATGTGCATGCATATGAAAGTCCGCAAAACACCCATGAACAGTTCATGAACATACACAACTCAAGCCAAGGTAAACCCACACCCAACAAAAGCCAAGCCCTAAACCCTTTCAACTACAATAAACCTTCAACCCTGAACTCTAAACCCTAAACCCTACAAACCCTAAACCCTGAACTCTAAACCCGAATCCCCAATCTTTACTGATGTCCGTTTCTGAGGCCCGGGGCCGGCTTCCGCCCCCGCGCACGCCGCTTAGAAGATGCGCCGACAGAAGCTGCAGACCTCTCCGTGGGCGATCTCGCCTCTCTTTCAGATTCATTATGGGTTGGGCTTAGGGGTTTAGGGGTTTAGGGTTTAGGGTCAGGCTAGGTTCCTGAATAGTACCCTTTTGCCCTTTTTGGCTTGGGATAATAAGGAACCTAGAAGGGCGCCTATGTCTTCGTTGTTTTGCGTCAGGGCTTGTGGTCTTTTCTGCCGTTTGCTTCGGGTTTAGGGTTTGCGCGATGGTGTGTTTGTTAGTTGTTTCAGCCTAGGACTAGGAACCAGGCCAGTTGAGAGCAGATCAGATGTTTTGCAGCTGAGGGATCCCCATTTGAAGAAGCCTTATCCAAGGGGTCCTACTCCATCGGGTGTACGCTACACTCTGCACTTCCGATTTCTGAAACTCGCATATATAAGTCTATATATATATATATAATATACATACATCTACTATCTATCTACACTTGTGTTTGTATATGTATGTAATTTATGTTTACAAGTATAAACGCATGAATATGTATGTATATAAGTGTACGGTGTGCGCACATATATATATATATATATACACATACACACACACAGAGGTTGGATCATGTGTGTGTATATATATATATATATAGATAGATATGCGCACACACATATGCGTGTACATATGCATATGCATCTGCATATACCTGTACATCTGAAGGCACATATACATATATATATATATATATATACATAAATATAATAGACATGGACATAGACAGATACATATGCATATGCATATGGAAGAGATGTGGAGAAAGGGAGACCTGACAAGCCAGCGAGAAGTGTCAAGCCAGTGAGGTCTTGGGGATTTGAGTATTGCTCTGACCCAAGAGCGCTCAACACTACCTGAGATTCTCTTCTGTGTTTGGGGTAGCATTCGGGGATTCATAGGCAAGCCCTAAAGCCTAAACCGTCCCCAAACCCTAAACCTTCAACGCTAAACCGGGCCAAGCCTAATCCCAGTGGCGGCCTTCGAAGGTCTGCGTGCAGGGGCTGGCTTCTGCAGCTCAATACAACGGTGAGAACGGCACGGTCCGAAATCTAAGGCGCTCCAGGGAGCTTATTATGGTTTCCTTAAGGGGTCTAGGGCCCTTACTATGAGGTCCTTGGAGGGATAGGGATAGGGTAAACCCCAAAAGCCCTCAGGCGCCGAGTTCTTCTTGGAGTGATTCTCTGCTTTGTAGGTCGCATATAGCTAAGCACCTATAAGCCCTTTCTGAATCCTAAACTTGCACCCCTAAATCCCAAACCCTTAAGCCTGAAAGCCCCAAAAGCCCAAAGCCCCGTGCCCTAAATCCTAAACCCTAAACCCTATGCCTCCAGGGACCTTATCACCGAGTCCTCAAGGGGTCTATAGGGCCCTAACTATGAGGTCCTTGGAGGGATAGGGTAAACCCAAAAAGCCCAAAACCCCATGCCCTAAATCCTAAACCCAAAAACCCCAAAAGCCCTAAATCCTAGACCCCAAAACCCTAAACCCAAAAAACCCTAAACCCCAAACCCCTAAACCGAAAGCGCCCAAAACCCCATTGCCCTAAATCCCCCAACAGCCCTAAACCCTAAAGCTTTAAGCCCAAAATCCCTAAACCCTAAACCCCAAAAGCTCAAAACCCTTCATTGCCAGGCCAGATGGACGGATCGAGATCGAGCTCGTCTTGGACCATCCCGACCCATCGGGCTCACCAAGTCCCCAGTCAGGTGGGAGCTTTAGAGGGTTTAGGGGTTTGGGGGTTTGAGGGTTTAGGGTTTAGACTCTAGGGGTTTAGGGGTTTAGGGGTTTGGGGGTTCAGGGTTTGGGGGTTTAGGGTTTAGGGATTTAGGGGTTTGGGGGTTTAGGGTTTACGCACTGTATGAGTAGAATTCTATCACATTCTAGAGGGGTTTCAACCGGGTCAGTCAGCTGGGAGCTCTAGGGTTTTATGCTTTCAGCGTTCCGGCTCTGTGAATAGAGTTCTATCACATTAAAGGAGGGTTCTAGAAGGGTCTTGAAAGAGGTCCCAATTGGTCCATATGTGCCACAACTATGGAAGTAGGACCATAACGAGCATGGCCTTTTGGGGCTAAGCTTGGGTCCCTGGTTATTAGGATGTCCCTAAGGGGGGGTGGTCCAAGGGGGGCAGGTAACCTAGTAATCCCCATTATTCCCCAATACTCCCTAAGCTTCCCTAAGGTTCCCCAAATCTCCCTAGTACCCTCCCCCCTTGAACCACCCCCCCTTAAGGATCCTATAAGGTTAGGTCCCCAATTTAGCACAGCACCCCTCATAAAACGGAGCCAGAAGGGTCCCAATAGTCAGAGAATTACCCGTCCCAGAGTAGACCCCTAAACCCTAAACCCCATAGATCCCTTTAAGGAACCCTCTAGATCCCTTTAAGGAGCCCTTTAAGAGCCCTTCCTAAGTCCCCTCCTGCCCCTCCAGAGTATACGTTTAGTATATCTATCTATATATGATATGAGCATATATGAGCCCTCTATAAACCCAAGAGTTGCACACTGGTCTCCCCGGAGAGTCTCACTTGCTGGATCGGATTCGGGGCTGTGGGTTTGTGTTTTCTTTTTTGGGTTTAAGGGTTAAGGTTCCGGGTTTAGGGTTAATGGATACTGCAGTCTCGGAGCATATCACCGATCGAGTATGGCAGCCCTCCCTTCCCGCGAAGTCTGAATCTAAACGCGCCCTAACCACAATCCCCAGAGCCCGTAAACCCTCTGCATAAGGCTCCGGCCCAAAGCCCTAAACCTTAAGAGATAGACTCTCAACCCTGATCCCTAAGAAGCCCTGAGCCCTAAACCGTAAGATAGAGCCCCTAAACCCTAAAGCCTAAACCCCAATGCTAGGCCCAAAACCTGCCAGGCTCATTGCACAGCAAAGTTCTGGCGGTTCGCCCTGAGAACCTGTCGGGGCCTGAGTCCCCAATCCGAAAGGGCCATCGAAATTCAGCCCAAAGCCCTGAACACTGAACCCTAAAACCCTATACCCTTTCCTGAACCGTAAGCCTTATAGACCCTAAACCCTAAAACCCTAAAGCCTTAAACCCTAAACTCTATGGGTGTTGGGCTTCCTGGGTCTCAGTAGTCTACGCCTCCAAACCCTACCTACAGTAAACCCCATATAGTTGGAAACCTTATTCAGGCCAAATAGTGTTGGGATCCCCTATACATTACAGTGGACGCCAAAAAGTTGGAACATGCACACCCTAACATTCTGCACTCCATGAGCGAGCGCGTGCAAGTTCCAATTTCGGCATTATGTTCCAAAGTTGGAACATTCTGATTCTGACTGGACCGGCCGGAAAACCCAGTGTCTGTGGATGTCATCAAGGTTGGCCATGGATGATATGGACATCATTATGCTTGGAGGGTGGGGGGGCACCCTGTGGAGGGGAAACAACCTAACCTTGCACTTTCCTAAACCCTAAGCCCAGCTTCCCCTGGTTGGGGGACCCCAAAAAAATATACAGTAAACGCTGGGCCCTAAACCCTACGTGCCCGCTTTCCCCTAAAACTTGGGGGGCTAGGCACCCTAAACCCTGCAAGAGCTGGCAGCTGGTAGTAGTCTTCGAGGCCCGAGCAGAATGGAGAGCGATGGGTTTCGTTATGGCTCAATCTACGGCACGGCAAAATGCAGTGCGGCTCTTTATGCCTGATCCCCGGGCACTTGCTCCAAGAAGCTTGTCACGCATCAGCTTTCACTTCTGAAAGATGCTTGAGTGGCAACAAGTGTCTATTGCACTTGCATCCCACCCGATTCCCGCGAGTAACAATTCTGATCATCATCCATCACACACTCATTCACCCTTAGATGACAAAGGTAGCTCGCCGTCCACACGTCGTCGTCTGGCAGATCGCATTTCAGGATCTTCCACAATCTTCCAGCAATGGCCCATGTTGTAAAACAAGTCTAGCTCTTTGCAGTTGCCCCGTTTGGTGAGAGCATTCGCCAGCTGCGCCTCTGAGTGCACCCATCTCAGGATCAAGCCAGTCTGCTCCTGGCTCTCTTTGAGGGCAACCATTTCGATGTTTGTCCTCTTCTCTGCTCCTTTTATGGTTAACACAGCTGTTACCAGTTTGTCGTACACGTTGCGACTGTCTGTTATCAAGCAACCCAGTACTCTGCCCACATCGGCTGCCGGATTCCGTACATCGCCTGCTCCATGTAGTAGCTCATGCCACTGGTACCTAGCGTAAAACAAGGAGTCCTCGCCGTTGATGGCCGCATGGGCCTCAGCGGCCCCGGGAGAGCGGCATGCTCTCTCAATCCTGTTTGAGTGCCAGGCCACTGGCGAGATTGGGCACAGCTCGCCCTGTAGAAGTGTAGTTGGCGCCACTCCTATGAAGATACCCTGAGTACTGTACCCATCAACCCTGTTCTGGTTACCGGCATCAACCCATCCATACAGTCCGAGGTCCTCGCCATTTCTAAAAGCATGGATTTTCATAACATGGTCCTTGGCAGCGCGTGCCCTGCGGAGGCACGCGTTTGCCTTAGCGATAGTCTCTCCATCACTTTGGGAGACCTCAGACAGCAACAAGCTGACCTCGGCGCTCAAGTGCGGCGCCACTTGCTGCGCATGCCAAGATATGGCACCCAACAAAGCCCTTAGTTGGCTTCTTTCGCGCTCGGTGGTGGCCTGCGTAGGTTGCTTCCGTCTGGAAGCGTTCACTGGTATCTCTTTGACTGAGTCAATGTACCTTGGTTGCGAAAGCTCAAAGCCGCTGGCTGTCCTCTTGATGTTCACACCGCATTGAACGAAGTCATCATAATCCCAGTCACCCCACTGAAAGCGTTCCTTGATGGCTTTGATGGTTTGTTGCCACTTGGGGTGTTGCTCATCTCCAGTGAACAAGAAATCGTCCACATGACCAGTTATGATACCTATCACGGTGTCCTGTTCGCGAAGCACCCAACAGCAAGCGTCTGACCAAGTTCTCTCAAGCTGTAGGCTACCCAAAAACTCGTCGACTGTTTTGTACCACTCTAGTGGAGCGTCTACCAAGCCGTAGCAAGCTCGTCGGAGTCGAGTTATCGACTCATGTGGAATGCCTAAGGCCTCGCAAATCTCTGGACAAGGAATGCAGTACAGAGTGTCCGGATACTCTCTACCCTGCAAAAAGGCACCGGACACGTCGCCCTTGGCGACTCGCCAATTCCGATTGGCAGCTATCTGTAATACAAATTGTCTGGTCTGTCGTGACATAACAGGTGCCGTAGTAGCGCGGTGTTCATACGCTGGGTCTTGATATCCCAACAGCACCGCTCGAGCCTTCGGCTTGACAGAGCCGTCTTCTTTCTGTTTCCACGTCAATATCCAGCGCATATTGACTGCTTGCTCTTTTGAGGGCCTTTGTCCTTCCGGAATTGTCTCAAAAGCCTGTGCCGCCACGAAGTTCTTGACCTCCACCAGTTTGGCGGATCGGAAGAGCGCTCGTTCTTCATCTGTCAAGCGCTTCTCACTGACCTCGACGGCTCGCTTCTTCATACTATTCATGAAGTAGGTGGGTAGGTCTCTGCAGGCCTTGTCCAAGCCCTGCTTGCTTTCTGGTAGCGCCACTTCCACCTCGATGGCTGCCTGCCGATCGTTCCAGTAGGCTGTGTCGTCGCTCCACAAAGCCTCCTGTACCTCGGACCACCATTGACCGCCAGACGAATTGCTCGGTCTGGAGTAGGGGGATGACCTTGATGCCGCCGCGCGTTGACCCTCCCTCGGCGGGGGTTCCTCCCCGTCTTCATCTCCACGGTTATCACGAGCTCGTCCGTAGGAGGTGGCGCGAGCCACCTCGTCTTGCGATCGCTTCTGTCCAATCCGTCGTCTAGTTGGCTGTACCTCCTGCTCCACGTCCTGTGCTCGTGTCCACTCGTGTTCTGGAACCGCCTCAGTAATATCTTGATACTTGCTCCCACCGATCTGCTCAGCGACCCGTGTGTAGGTCCACGGTACGGGATCAGTCTGATTCAAAGACTCGATCAGTTCCTCCCGCGCGGAGGCCCTTCGAACCTGCTCAGCTGCGCACTTCAGTAGGCTGCGGCCACGTACCAACCATACCGACGAACTCGGCATGAGATGTCCCTGATCATCTCGCTTTGTCTCTGTCGCCAGCACTCGGGCCGGACCCAGAAACTGTCCATGGCGGTCTCCAGGCTCGCGGCGTGATTGTCCGCTTACCTGTGATCGCCAGAAGAACACCAGTTCGCCAGGCACGAAGTCTAGCACTCGCCTTCCGCGAGAGTGCGCTGCTCTAGACAGGCGTTGTTTGGCCTGCCACTCACTGAGGGCTTGCTCCGCAGTCCTCTGTCGCTCAATGCTCCTGGCGAACTCGCCGGTGGGATTCTCTACTAGTAGCTCGGGTGGCATCGCCTTTCCAGAAAAATCCATCCGGCCCGAGATATCTGGCGCCTGGCCCAGAGCGTGCTGCGTCGGGGTGAATCCCCGAATGATCTCCCTCTGGTTGAAGGTGCGCACTGCGACAGCTAGGGCCTCTCGGGTGTCCAGCTCCGGTTCATCTTCTAGTAGTTTGCTGAGCAGTTCCTTGGTCCCTTTCACGGCCTGCTCTACAACGCTCACCTTCCAATGAGCCTCTCCTGGTATCACATCCAGGAAAATCTGGTGCCTGTCGCAGAACTCCTCTACCGCGGCGCCTCTGAAGGCGCCTGCTGGGTCGAGGCGAAGCGTCCGCGGTGCCCCGAAATAGGATATCCAACCATCCCTCAAGTACTCTAGACATGCTGCACCTGTGGGCTGTTGCTTTGAGCCCACTGTCAGGACTCGCGCCGCTTTGAAGCGTGATCCCTCATCCACTATCATCATGAACTGCACATGTTCTTTCTTGTGGACATTGTAGTAGTGCCCAATGTCGGCGCTTACGCAATGCCACTTCGGGGGAAGTGGCTCCAAAGAGGCCAGGTGTCGTGGCTGAACCCTTCGCTTCTCTTCACACACTGAACACCGGAACTCTTTCGCCAGAGACAACACCTCCGAATGCACACCCCTACGTCGTAATGCTTCCACAAGGTGTTTGGTGCTTCCATGTCCTGTTGCCGCGTGTAACAAGTACAGCTGCTTCTTCACTCTTTCGCGTTCCTGTTTGGTGAGGGGCTGTTCACTCGCGGCCATCACATGCTCACGAACCCTACTTCGACTTTGGGCTTTTGGGGGAAGCCTAAACTTCAACCTCCGAAGCTCATCCCTGCACGCTTCATCCATAGTATTATGGCTTCGACTCACGTAGCACGACATCACGTATCTTGACCCTTGCCACACTTCCGTTCCATGCCAGGCCTTGGGCGGAAACTGCACCACCTGGTGCATCGTCTTGTGGAGCTGTCCCACGCGTTCGGTGCCGTCGGGCAACACCTTTGTGGTTGATTTACTGACTGGCACCTCTTCGGGCCTCTCTATCCACAGCTCCCCTCCTTGGTAACGACTAACTCCTATCACGCAGTTGTTGTGTTGGGGGTCGTTGTGGCAGTCCCTATGCAGGGGCATGTTCATGTTCCTACTGACCACGTAGGACGTGTACATTTGTTCACGAGGTAACTGTCGTTGCAAGTACTGTTGAAAATACTCGTGGCAGTGAGGCAACGTTCGGGTCACTTTGGTCACTCCGTAGAACCTACCGTGAGCATACAGTCCAAACGTGTAATAACCCTTCTTTTTCGTTGAATCTTGGGGTCCTTGAGCCTGTTTACGACCGCGTTGTTGCATGTTGGGAAGTACCTCTATGAGGGCCTCACAGTCTGCATGTTGGAATTTCTGGTCTCTCAACAGTTGCTGTGCCGTGTCTTCGGCCTGCTGAACTTCACTACTACAGAAATGAGCACTTGGGCCTTCCTCGGTTTGGGTACCTTCCGCAAGCTCGGCTTCGTGTTGGTAGTCGTATTGTGCTTGGGGGTTCTCATTCGCTTCGGGGCCTGGGTCCTCCTGTTCATCGGTATCACAACCCTGACTCAAACCCTGCTCACCTTCACGCCTTTTCCCTTGCAAACACAACCCACACGGTATCCCAACCTCTCTACCTTGCGTAAGCTCACAAATGCAGTGGAGTCCATTCCCAAATGCCTCTGGCAGTTCTGGCTTCCCTCGCAACTCACTCAGCACTCCTACGTAGTTGTGCTCCTGCAACAACATCTGTGTCACTCGATCCGCAAACTCCGAAGTGTACGTATCCTCCGAAAGACCCTCAACGCCCTCGTCCTTAGAGTGCACGTACGCCTTAGCGCACGTGCATGGCGCTTGTAACACCTCTGAAAGCCGGCCATGCGTCGTGCAGACCTTCCATCCACGCCTGGACAGCTTGTTGTCTCTTCCTCGTTTGTTCATGCGACATCCCTTAGTCACGCACACCTTCAGTGAATGTTGCTGGATCAGCTGCTGCACAACCGGTAACCTCCAAGCGTTGTTTTGATCGGGCATCTGCAAGGACACATGTATTCCTAGTTGAATGCACGCTCGAACTACAACGCCACAACCGACGAGATACTTCATGGTTTTCTGTCGTTCAACACTCAGCTTGGGGTCTGGAACCTCACTTTTACTTCTAGTGTTTTGCCAGTTGCAGAACGGTTTACTGGGTGGCCTGATCCACACATGCAACGGTCGCAACACCTCCATCTTTTCAAGAGTCTGCTTGATCCCCTCGGTCGTGCTTAGATCGTGGCCGTTCCAGTCTGCGCACCTTATAGCTGCGCTGTCCCGACCGGCCTGTTCCTGCACTCGTGGTGTCAGCTTGCTCTCTGGCAAACTGCTGATTTCCAAAACATATGGCCGACGCTGAGAAACAAGATCCTGAAACATCTGAGGCACTAAGCTCCAAGCCTGGTGTTCCACTAACGCCGCTGTTTCTTTGCTTAGAACCACACTATCGCCCTCAGCATCCGCCGTTCCGATCCCTGTCGGACTCATATCTAAGCCCACGGCCCCGAGGTGTTTCACTTGGGGTTCGGCTTGCTGGGGTTCCCCACCATCTGGTAGGAGTTGGCCGCCGACTCGGTCTCGCTGTTCGATGCTCGGACCTCCTTGCGAGGTCTCTCGGCGCGTAGCTCCTGGACTTCCTGTTGGAGCCCCTGCACTGTGGTCATCATGGCCTGCAAGAGCTCGTGGGTCGCGTCCGTGGATGCTCGTGCCGTGCTCGCCGGAGAACTTGAGGGTGCTCGCGCCTTCGCTTTTGGCTTGTTCACCGGAATCATCTCGGTCTCCTTGTCCGCCTGCCGCTCCAGCCAATTGGCCAGTCGTCGTAGGCGGTAATCCGTTTCGTCGGTCTCCTGGGCCGTCTTCTTGACCCAGTCTGCGTAGTTGTGGCGCTCCCTGTAAATGTCCATGTAGGTCTCCGTGCTGTGCTTCCCGAAGCCCACAACATCCTCTCCGGCAGGCTCCGAAATGTCGTACAAGCGGCGCAAGGCGGCCTGCTCGAGGGTGTACATCGTGTGGTTGCAGCTGGTCACTACCCCGATCTGTTGGCAGTAGGCCTCCAGAGTCGACTTCTTTCGACTCGCCACTCCGAGCTCGCGAATGCGGCTCTGTAGGTCGGTCACTACCTTCTTCGGTGTCTCGCCGGCTGCTGGGTCCAGTTCCAGGATCCGCATCACGATCTCCTTCTTGGTCCACTTGGTAGGCGTCTGCTCGCCCAGCTCGGCCAACTTCTCCTTGAGCTGCTCCTTGCGCAACTTCATCAAAGCCATGTTGGTGTGGAGGCGGCGGGATCCTATAGGAAGTGCCGTGGTGATGGCTTCTGTCGTCACTTGAGACCTCGTCGTCTGTGGTTGTTGAGTTTCCCTTGTCATCAACCTTATCACCATCATCATCATCAACATTGAACCTAACACATTTCACTCGACACTGATCAGAATTGCCTCTCGGATAAACGCTTTGGCATTGCTCTGCAACGCCCCCCGTGCCTGAAACTACACTGTCCACTTCTTTCCTGCCAGGCATACAGTCAGAAGCGAGTTGTCCCTACTCCGAGGCTTGCTGTACAAGTTCCTTCAAGCTTCGGATGGGCTGCTTGGTGGATAGGGCCTTCTCGTACAAGTTGCCAGTCAGTGGTAACAATTGGTGTCCCGTGCTGGACCTCTCCAAGCTCAACACCTGTTGCGCATCAATGGCTCTGAAACATACCATGTCGTGCTGGAAATCTATAATAGCTCCCAGCGCCCGCAAGGTTGCCACTGACAGCAAGATCGGCGTATCGCCCTTATCGAGCGCATGCACAACCAGTCGGCCTTCTCGGGGTCCTGCGGTAATGCCCAGCTCCACTGTGCTGGCACATTGGTCCTCTGTGGAATTCCCGAAACCGAAGGTTGGCCGATTGTCCAAGCTGACGGAATGGATGCGAGGGCTGCCGTACTTCTTGGCATTGATGTCCATCACCTTCTGGATAGCTGCTACACTGCCCAGTGTCCTCGTGGCTCCGCCGTCGATCACGGCAAAACCTTCTGTCGCGGCCTCGCGAGTGCTCTTGGTGCCCATTGCGCCGGTGGCGCTGGCGCTCAATGCCTGGTCAGTGTAGCAGATGAAGGGGGCCGACTGCGTCGGTCCACTGCCGCTTCTCGTAGCCTCCTGGGTTGTTGATCGGCAGTTGGCTGCCCGGTGGCCCTTCTTCCCGCACTTCATGCAGATCATGTTCTCGTCATTCGGTGTGTAGCCCTTTCCACCTTTGCCTTGATAATACTTCCTTGACAACTTCACTGCCGATTGTTTCGCCCGGGCCTCTCGTAAGGTCCGCCGGGCATTCTGGTAGGTGGCCCATGCTTGATGCACTTCTGCCTCGGACTCTGCCCACAAGATCTGGCCCTCCTCGTCGAGTTCCTCTACGCTGAAACCCTCATCGAGCTCCACCGTCTCGTCTTCCTCGTCGGGGCCTTCACCCAGATAGCTGGAGTGGCGACTTGAGGCGTCGCCCCGGCGATTCTCAATGTCTGGAAACTGTGTGCGCAGTTCCTGGGCCACCTTCTGCACCGTGAAGTTGTTCTGAATCGCTGTGAGGATGAGGTTCTTCTCCGAGCTGCTCAGTCCTGCATCCTGTAGCAGATACCAAGCCTGGACGAACTCTGGCAGGAGTTCTGGCAAGGGCTCCGGCTTCGCCGCCATGTGCTTTGGCTGCCAGCCCGTATAGCCCTGGCCATAGCCGGTCTGCCAGCTTCCTCCCCATGACCAGTAGTTCTGCTGCCACCAATACGATGGAGTCCAGTTCCATCCGGCGTCCCTCGAGGCCTCGCTGGTCTGCGAGGGTGCCGTAGTGCCGCTTGGGTCCGTGTTCGTGGTGGCGCCTTGTGCGTAGTCAGAGCTTTCCGGCTCTGTTTCCTCATGCCCCGTCGAGTCCCAGCTGCTCCGGCGACTCATGTTGGGCCAGCCTCCATAGCTGCCCCACTGCCCACCGTCTGGATTCACGTGTCCTCCTCCGGTTCGGCTGGTCTCCTTGGCGACCTGCTGGTGATGTGGGGACACTCTCTTCATCGCCTGACAAGCTCTCAGATACACCTCACACTTCCGTGAGATGTACTCATTCATCGACTCCTGTTGGCGGCGTCGACCTTGACGGAAATATCGGTTCAGGTGCTCCGTCAACTCCGGTATCTGAGGGCGTCCCAGGCACACCGGCAGGTGTTGCAATAGCGTCTCCACACCTTGGTCGTGCGACAGCCATGTCGGTGGCTGTCCAGCCACCCATCTCTTGGCCGCACCAGTCAATTCTCCCAGCAACTTGGGTCCCAGAAGACATCTTTTGTGGTACGGGGTGCTTTGTTCGAAGATCATGCACTGCTCGGAGAACTCTTCAAAACTGGCGGCGACACCATCCCATGTGGGCACGCCGTCCTTGCTCCGGCCACTCGAAGTGGTCGCTGCCATCTCTTGGATTCTCTTCCCGGCCTTCGCAGGGAAAGATTGTCGTAAGGTCCCTGGTCTCCTGAGCCAAGCCCTCACAGGTATGTGAGGAGCAAGGCTCCGCTACCATGCAAGAGCTGGCAGCTGGTAGTAGTCTTCGAGGCCCGAGCAGAATGGAGAGCGATGGGTTTCGTTATGGCTCAATCTACGGCACGGCAAAATGCAGTGCGGCTCTTTATGCCTGATCCCCGGGCACTTGCTCCAAGAAGCTTGTCACGCATCAGCTTTCACTTCTGAAAGATGCTTGAGTGGCAACAAGTGTCTATTGCACTTGCAAACCCTATGCCCGGTTTCCCCAAAAATATAGCATAGGGACCTAGGCAGATGTGTCCTAAACCACCCTGAAAAACCCTGAAACGAAACCACCCCCACACGCAAACCGCAACCCTAGGAACCGGGGGGGCGGGGGGCGGGTTGGGAGGGAGGGTTTGAGGCAACACCAACCATGTTCCAACTTTAGCCTCCAAGATCAAAGTCGGAACCTGTGGCTTGGGGCCAATTTGCTCCAGTGGACACGTTCCAACCTCCCGGCTTCCACCATACTCTTAACGATTGACGCTGTTGGATTTCCAACTTTTGGGAATCTACCGGATAGTCTTCATTGCGGTTCCTGTTTTGGCATACTGCTCCGAAAGCCTCGGCTCATAGGCGCAAAAACCCGAAAGACTCATGACAGCGCCTGAAGACAGCAGCAAAATCCTATATAAACCCTGAACCTATAGACCTTCAGCCTTGAACTTAAACCCTGACCAATATTCCCTGAAGCCGGAACCTAGTGAACTTATTTTCAACTAGAAGAGGAACCAAAGCCCTTGGAAAACACAAGCTCACCCTTATCTGATGGTATACCTGGACTCACAAACCCTAACCCTAATTACAATAAAGCCTAAACTTTAAAGCCCAAACCCCTAAACCCTGAAGTCTCGTTGAGTCTTGAGTCCCAAAAAAGGCAGGGCAGAGTCTCAGGTACTTCGGGGTACCAAGGAGGTCTGAGGATTCGGAGCGCCAATCCCCAAACCCTACCGGAACCTGAAGAACCTGCCTTTTTATGGATTCTGTTTATAAACCCTAAACCCTTATAAGGAGATCATGATTCGGAGCCGTGAAGAGGTAGGGGTCTGGGTAAACCCCAAACCCCTAAACCCGAGACCATAGGTTTAGGGTTTAGGATTTAGGACCACGTTTTGCATAAAAGGGGGACTTGCGAAGCTTTGAGCTTAAGGTTTCCAGGAATGCTATGAGCGGCGTCGGCTTGCCATCCTTCGGTCAGAGTTAGGGTTTCGGGTTTAGGGTATGGGGTTCAAGGTTGAAAGCGTTACAAACCCCGAAGCCCGAAACCTGTTGAGGATGACCCCAAAACCCCCCAAAGCTTTTGGAGTCGATGGGTTTAGGGTCTAGTCAGCATTCCCAAAAGCCCTGTACAGTATTGTAGGGTTTTAGGGTTTACAGAATGGCCCAACACGGCCTGGTATAGTAATGTAGGGGTCGACATAGTTACCAAGCTTTTCCTAGGGTTCATTATTGTTTGAATATACAATATACCCCAACATCTATTCTCAATCTTACACGCAGATGCCCTAAACCGAGAGACCTCCCTGTACGATGTAATGCTCCGACTGTTGCAATCTATCTGCAGCAAGTAGACCATAGATGTCTTTTTGCACGTCCTTTTACGCATTCTTTCAGGGTGCATTGTTCGTCCTTTGTTTTGCCGTCGACAGGCTTTCGCCACCTCCAAACCCTATTCAATATTCTACGCATTACAAACTAAACCCTTAAAGTAATCCTTATCGCAACCGGTGCAGTAACCCCTATATAAAGGAACCCCTAAATGACCCCTGAACCCTAGTCTCACTATGAAGGCCCCTATAGCATGTTCGGAGGGTTTAGGGATGTTTAGGGGTTTAGGGGTTTGGGCCTTAGGGGCTCGGGGGTTTAGGGTATGTAAGTTATAGAAGGTCTTCCGAGATGCTGCAGACTCTGTGACTACTGTTGCCTCTAGAGCAGCCCCTTCCGTCTTGCAAGGGGATGAGTTTGAGAGCCTGTTTCTTGAAGCATCTCCACTTTGCTATTGTTTGAGTCAGGCAGAGACTGGCGACTGCACCTCTGCCCACGCAATGTTCTGGTCTTCTTGGCCAAGGTGCTCGTTTGCGGTTCAGGTTTGTCCTCCCCCTCTCCCTCTCTCTCTCTCTCTTTGTCTCTCTCTCTCTCTCTCTCCCTCTTTGCGGCCTTTCTCTCTGTCTCTGGAGGTCCGTCTCTCGTCCTGGTCTTGAAAGGTGTGTTTGGAAAGCAGCACCTACCGCTGTTGGCTTTCAGGGCTTTGGGGTCTCAACGTCCTCATCATCACCTGTGAAGGAGTCGAGAGTCTATAGCTTCTGTTTCCCGCAGTATGCTGGTTAGACGGTGTCCGGAATTCCTTGTTCAGTCCTTTGGGATTCTCGATTGCTTTCGTCTTCGGAGATGTCCTCGAAGTATGTAAGGCTTGCCGCTTGATGCCAAGAGCGCAAACTCATCGTAGTTCAGTTCGGAGCATTTAGGGTCGAAGCTGCACCCTCACAGCACAGCTGGCAGGAGCCGAGTCCCTGACGCTCGAGGAGTGCGGGGGCAGAGGGGCGGAGGGATCTTCAAGACAGAACTCAACCCTGAGCCTTTTGAAGGCCTGACCCGCAAAGTCACACATCCCTAACCCTAACCACTATATCCCTAACTAAGGAACCTCTGTGCGCAGGTCCGGCTCTCATAAAGGGGGCCCTTGGGTCTCGGGAGTGTCTCAGAAACCCGCGTGGCCCATAACCGGAATATCCTCCATCAAACCCTGCCTGAGCCACCCAAACCACTAACTTCTGAAGGGTTCATATGAGTGGTTGTCAAAATTAGGGTCCCTTTTTGGGTCCTTATTCTAACACGGCACCTAAAAAATTAGGGTACCCAAAACGGGACCATAATTTTGACAACCACCCATATAAGGATATCATCGTAAGGAACCCTAAAACTTTTAAAGCCTAGCGGGCCTTTAGGCTTCAGGTAGGCCCCTCAACCTGACACGGCCAACGCCTCCGGTTGTAGGGGAGCCCTTTCCGGTGCCAATTCTGCGAAGGATTTCGATCCGAGCAAGACGCGCCCGCACGAGGACTCGATTGTGGGCGAACGGTGTAGTTGGGTGGTTGTCAATATTCTGGTCCCTTGTTGGGTCCCTATTTTAGTACGGTACCTGTTATTTAGGGTACCCAAAAAGGGACCATAATTTTGACAACCACCCAGTTAAGGGTTCAGGGTTGAGCGTTACGGCTTTAGGGTTGTTGGATCAGGTTCGGGGTTCTGAGATTAATGAACAACTGGAGTGGTCTCGTGTGTTGAAGGCGGCGTGTGTCCTGGTAATTAGGACGTATGCCTGTGGTGTGTGTGTGTGTGTGTGAGGGAGAGGGAGGGAGAGAGAGAGAGAGAGAGAGAGAGAGAGAGCGAGGGAGGGAGGGAGGGAGGGAAAGGAAGAGAGAAGTGGAGAGAGAGAGAGAGAGAGAGAAAGAGAGAGAGAGAGATGTAGAGGGAAACCTCTGCACCATAACCCTGGCGAAAGAAAGAGAGAGAGATAGAGGGATAGAGGGAGGGGGAGAGAGAGAGAGAGAGAGAGAGATATATATAGAGAGAGAGAGAGAGAAAGAGAGACAGGGAGAGAGAGACAGGGAAAGCAGGGCAGAGAGAGAGAGAGAGAGAGAGAAAGAGAGGGGGGGGGAGGGGGAGAGGGAGCGTACGAGGGGCCGAGTGAGGTAGAGGTTAAAGCCAACGGCTCAATCAGCAGGCAGACTGCGTTTTTCTGTCGCTGGATTAGAGGATGAGCGCCGCCAACGTGCACACCCAGGTGGTACCTAACGAGAAGAGCCGAGAGAGAGAGAGAGAGAGAGAGAGAGAGAGAGAGAGGGAGAGGGAGGGAGGGAGAGGAGAGGAGGGAGAGGGAGGGGGAGAGGGGAGGGAGAGGGAGAGGGAGAGGGAGAGGGAGAGGGAGAGGGAGAGGGAGAGGGAGAGGGAGAGGGAGGGGGAGGGGGAGAGGGAGAGGGAGAGGGAGAGGGAGAGGGAGAGGGAGAGGGAGAGGGAGAGGGAGAGGGAGAGGGAGAGGGCGAGAGAGACAGCCAGACTGATTGATAAATAACATAACACACTCAGGCTGTCAGACACGTGCAACAACGCAACCTAGCCAAGATGCCTGAGCCGGAAGCTTGAACCATAAGACCGCAAACCTAAGCATGTTGCCTCAAATCTTACGCCCCAAACCCCCTAAACCCCGAACATCCCCGAACCCTACACCGCCAACGCTGAGCCCTAAACCCCAACCCCTGTGAACCCTAAAGGCCCTATACTCCACCCTAAACCCCACGCCCTGGTTCCAGGACTCGGACGAATCCAGCGCCCTGTGACCGGCAACTGATGACCGAAGCAAGGGACAGCCCAAAGGGTCCTAGTTTGCCTAGCCAGCGGTAATTTTATTTGGGTGTAGGGGTTAATTCTGCTTTTAATACCTTAAGCCCTAAACCCTATAAACTCCTATGGTAGAAGACCAAAAGTTGGAAGCCCAATAGCTTCAATCCTTAAGAGTAATGCATAGGGAATCCCAGCACTGTTCGTTCTTAAATTGCTGTTTCCAACTTTTTGGGGATGTACCATAAGTAACCTTTGTTTGGAGTACCATACTCGAGTACTTTAGTTCCTTAAAGGAGCCATTATGAAAGCTAATGCTTATAGTTTTTGTTATTGGCTACTTCAAAGTCCAGATTACCTATTAGAGTTTAGGGTTGTGGGTATAAGGTTTAGGGTTGTGCCTACACAGTACAAAGTGGGGTTTCTATAATAGGAATTGCAATTTCCATGGTTTGGCTAAGTATCCCCCATATAGGCACTGAGGGCCCTTTGGGCAGGATGAAGTGCAGTTACGATGCAGAGCCTTTGGGCTTCTATCAGTTCCGACCAGCGTT